GAGGGCCGTCCGGGCAGCCGCGCCCGCCTGTCACGCCCCGGCGGACCTTCTGCGGCCGTCTCGGCGCGTCCGCGGGGGACACTGCGGCGCGCTTGCAGGGTGGCGGCCGACTGGGTGCAGACGACCCGGGCTCCGCGCGCCGCCCGCCTCTCCGTCCTCCGCCGCTCGCTCCCGGGTTCGCACCGCAGCCTCCGGAGCGGCACGCGTGCGTCCCCGCGGCCCGTGTCTTTTGCGAAGGTCCTCCCCACGCCGGAGATGCAGTGACAAGTTAACATGGGCGTCCACGCCTCGCCTGCCCCGGAGGAGCATTGCCAGAGGCAGCGGTCGCTGAGCGCCCCGAGCTCCTGAGCAGGCCGCCCGGGAGGGGCGTGAGACCCGGCCGCGACACCCGCGCAGGTGGGACCCGCAGAGCCCGGGGACCCGCCGCTCAGCCCGCAGACGCGCGCGCAGGATTTGCCGGCTCGCTGACCCGGGGATTTGGGGTTTTGTTGTTTTTTCTTTTTCTTTTTCCTTTTCTTCCACTGGTGGTGGGCGCCTCGCGGGCCGAGGCCCGGCGCCTGCTCTGTTGCCCGCGCTGCCTTTAGCGGTCGCCTCCGCCGCCGCTGCCAGGGACGTGCTGGGAAAGCCCAAGCCCCGGGAGAAGATGCCGGCCATCCTGGTAGCCTCCAAAATGAAGTCGGGACTGCCCAAACCCGTGCACAGCGCCGCGCCCATCCTGCACGTGCCCCCGGCCCGGACTGGCCCCCAGCCCTGCTACCTGAAGTTGGGAAATAAGGTGGAGGTGAGCAAGAGCGCCTACCCTAGCCAGATCCCCCTGAAATCGCAGGCGCTGCAGGAGCCGGCGGGGGAGGGGCTCCCGCTGCGAAAGAGCGGCTCGCTGGAGAACGGGTTCGATACCCAGGTGAGCCGCACTGTGTGCCGGGGCACTGTTCTGGGGGATGGGTGGATACTTCGTGGGAGGGGCACGGCTGCCTGGGGGAAAGGCTGCCATGTGGTCGGGGAGGGGAAGCATCCCCCCTACGCTGACAGATGTGGGGGTACACCGGTCAGTGGGTGTGGCCCTAGTGCCAAGGGTTCTCCTGAGGAGCTCTGCAAAACCAAGGGGGTGCTGACAGCCTGCGGTATCTTTGGGGTTGGGTTGTGGACGTGATCTCGAAAAAACGTGTGCAGCATTGGAAATTTCAGGTTTTGAGTGTTGAGGGCCCCAAGGAGACGGTGCCCGCTGCTGTGATGCGTGTCTGTCTGTCTGCCGGTTCCTCAGAGGTTCTGTCCCTACTAAGGAATGGTCTGACACCCCCTGGACTGGCAGTGAGATCCGGGTGGTAGTGGTGAACGTGTTCACCTGCTAGGTTGAAGATGTCCCTGCCCCATCTTCAGGGAGATAGGAGTCGGCCAGGTGCTAGGACTGGTGGCTGGAGACTCCTAGTGCCTGGGCTCGCTGTGGATGGGGGTAGCGATTGGCTGTCTCAGAATGGCTGCCCAAGCTAAGCCCCTCCTTCCTGGGTCGTCTGTGCTGGTGGTGTTGGAAGCTCTGGTGACTGGGGAGGTGGGGGTGGGCTGGACAAATAACTGGAAGCGGAATGTGACTTGTACCTTTACCGGCAGAGCCCACATCACCCTACTGGGCTGGGTGACTGGCCCTGGCCATGCAATCTCTTTTAAGGAAATCCTCAAGGGCCAATCAGGTTGTCTTGGACTCCTGCCTCCCCTGCTGCCTTTTCCCCCTCTTCTGGTAGGAGGCAGTGGGAGGCATGCTGTATTTTCTTGGCTGCCATTCAGCGGGGACTTTTGGGGACAGACAAACCTGACGGATGTGACTGTCCCAGTCAGGAGGGGAGAGGTGGGGAAGCCAGAGGGGGAGGTAGTGTGGGACTGGTGTGGGAGAAGTGGCAACAGACCAGCTGACCTTTTTGGCCCCCTTTTCTCTGCTGACACCGGTCTCCACCTTCTGGAGCCTTCTCTGATCAGAGGCTAATCCTCAACACATTCCTAGCCTTACTGATGGGGCAACTGGAGTGGCAGCTAGCTGGAGAGAGACTGTTGGAACTCTAAGCCAGAGAAGGCACTCGGGAAGCTTCCACACTGGCCTATCAGCATGCCCCTCGATGCTGCACTTGCTAAACATTTTTAGAAGCTGACAGCTCTGAATGATGGTGTGTGGGAGGATGGCAAGATTTCCTCCAGTGCTCCCGGGCCCTGCCCTTCCAATATTAACTATTAATTGACTAACAATATTAGTTAATTCCCTCCGGTTGTATATCCCAAGTCTTCCTCTTCTGAGGCCACAAAGCTCATTCAGGGTGGCCAGGGCTGGTGGTAGACAGAGGAGAGAGAAAATGGGGAATTTGATTCAAAGTCCTTCTCTGATCAGAGGCTAATCCTCAACACATTCCTAGCCTTACTGATGGGGTAACTGGAGTGGCAGCTAGCTGGAGACAGACTGTTGGAACTCTAAGCCAGAGAAGGCACTCGGGAAGCTTCCACGCTGTCCTATCAGCATGCCCCTCGATGCTGCACTTGCTAAACATTTTTGGAAGCTGACAGCTCTGAATGATGGTGTGTGGGAGGATGGCAAGATTTCCTCCAGTGCTCCCGGGCCCTGCCTCTCTGCTATGCTGGGAGCTCTGTTCTTTTTCTCATAGCCACAGGACTTGTCCAGGAGAACTCTGAAATTAGAGTGAGGGACAGGGTCTTCCTACAAGGGTTTCCCCTTCTCGGCATGGGTGGAGAACAATGACTAGAAATGTGACACATAACCTCGAGTCTGATGATGAGGCCCCCAGGAATGAGAGGGAAGGCAGATGCTGGGCTCAGTGCCTGCTTTTGCCCATTTGACCCTTCATGTAACAAGCATCAGTGAAGGATTGCAGTGGGCAGGCTCTGGGAAAGTGATTCATCACCCTCTCCCCTGAAAAAAAAAAGTGCTCTCTGGCATCTCCCTGAGGGCCTGGCCTGGCCCTGTTCCCTGGGGCTGGTGCATCCCTCCTGTACCCTGCAGTCCCCAGCATCCCACCTCCATCACTCTCTCCCTCCATGGGCCCTCTGGATGGATGGCTAAGGAAACTGGCCACCTTCCAGGGGAGGGTCCTGGTTCCCAGCTAGCCCCTCCTTTCCAGTGTCCAGATCTCCCAGGGGCAGTTTTATGTGATGGACAGTTTTCTGTAACAGGAACTCAGAGCCCCACCCTGACATCAAAGGTTCTTTGGCAAAGGGATTTCACCTTCTTTGAACAGGGTATCCTCATGCTGACAGGAGGGTGCACATTCTCCTTCTAGAAAAGTCCCTCGATTATGGCTTGAGGACGGTGGCTGACTTGCTACCTGGTAATTTCCAGGTCTCAAACATAGTGTTTATCATTGGAGGACACTCAGGAAATGATCTGTGTCAAATGACATCCTGGGGCCTCTGCCTCTCTTTTATTGAGGGGATTTGGGGCAGGAGATTGGCTGGGTTGTGCTGTGACAATAACACAAGTTTTAAAACTGCAGGTATAAGTGGTGCCGTGTCTGTCCTGTAATAACTTCTCTGGGCTTCAGTGTTCCCATCTGTAAAAATGGGTCTAAACTACCATAAGAGCTGTTGTGAGCATTGAGAAAAAATTGGTAGCCTTGAAGTGAGAAAAGGCGGGGGCTGTTCTCTGAAGCCCTTGGGAAGGTGTCAAGCTGTTCACCTGTGTTTACAGACCTCTGGTCCTACCTGGCACAAAAGCATCTTGATGGGAAGTTGGGGGGTGGCCACTTGGGGAGTCCCGGATATGCCAGGCTCTTTCCACATGATATTATTCGACTTCACAGGAACACTTAGAGCAGGTATGGTACCCCCCACCCCCCTACCCCCTCGTTCTAAGACAACAGTAGCAAGGCCACTCCTCGCCCTGCACTTCCAAGGTGCCAGGAATCGTTCTAAGTGCTCTCGTTTGATTCTTATAACAATCTAATGAGATACCTGTAATTGTCCCCACTTTACACGTGAGGAAATTGAAGTGAAGACCGGTTTAGTTACCTTGTGAAGAGCAGAGTTGAAAGAACTAGAGCTTGAACTCTGACTAGAGACAGCTGCAGTGGCTGCTGATCTGTAAGGCCACAGCTGTCACCACTGGCGAGTGAGACCTGCAAGGTGGCGGAGCAGGGAGCCCAGCCAGGCCAGTGACACGCCCACCTGTTGTCAGGCCATCTCACAGGCTCACACATCTGAGGACAAATGAGACAGGGCAGCCTGCGCCTTGGAGATGGGATAGCCTAGTTAGAAGGCTAAACTGTGCCCATGGGGGCGACTTGGGAAGGACTAAGAGTGCTTGGGGCTGAGGATCCAAGGTGCTGAAAGAAAAGCTAGAATCTCAAGTCTTGGAGAAGACCAAAGGCCCACAGAGGAGGCAGGAGATGGGCTGGGCTTCAGAAATGGGCTGGAGTACCTGATGAGGAGGAGAAAGGATAGTAAGAGGATCAGCCAGGTCATGTAGTGGTGCAGAACAGGCCTGACAGGATGCTGCTTCATGTGTGGTATAGATGTGGTGTTTTCTATTAAAAACATTTTTATGTGTATGAGTATATTGCCTGCATCTGTGTAAGTGCAGCCATGTCATGCAGTGCCCGCAGAAGTCAAAAGAAGGCATGGGATCCCCTGGAACTGGAGTTACGGATGACTGTTAGCCACCCACCATGTGGGTGCTAGGATTTGAACCCCAGTCCTCTACAAGAGCAGTCAGTGCTCTTACAGCTGAGCCATCTCTCCAGCCCCAGGGGGTGTTTTCCATTTTAAATGGTGATGTGAGGAAGGGCAGGATGGTAGTGAGAAGCTAGAGAAATAGTGTCTGCTAAAGATCTGGCTCATAATAGAACCTTGGGAAGCGATAGCAATTACTACTATTAGCATGGGGTTCGGAATATTTGAATAGTAGTTATAGGACAAAGCAGGGAATTCGCAACCTATCCTCTTACCCAGCAACTCCGTGTAACCAGGGAGCTCTCGTTCACCCAGTGCCTGTGCCTCATCTCTATCAAAGACCCCCAAGCTGGTGGCTTTACTGGAAGTCCTACTGTCAACCTTCAACCTCACCTGGAGTCTCCCACAGAGCTGCAGCTGGTTTTCAACTTCCTTCCAAGGAACCCCGCTCTGTAGTAGCCTGGTCCTCCTGATCCACTTCCCTCCACCGAGATACCTGGGCCTTCTCTGCAGAACAACCGTTTAGAACATCTGTTCTGTGCCATGTACGTCAGTTATGACCATGTGTAAATAATTGCTTTAGACACACGTTCTGTATTAGTGTGCAAACCTCTGGCCAGCCCTGGATGCGGAGCACTCCTGAGCTGTTTGAGGAAGAGGTTGGCCTATTTTTAAGAAGCAGTTGCAGGGAAAGAGACAGTTCATATAATACTTTGATATTTCCTGTTTTTAGGAGCTAGTGTTCAGCCTGCAACTCATTTCTTTAAAAAAAAATAATTAGAAGTGATTGAAATCCTCTGTGAGTGTTTTAGATGTTTAAAAAGAGAGTGTGGGTGAGGCCCTTGGGACGCGTGCAGCTCCGAGCGTACAACCTGTTGCAGCTTTGCCACGTTGTGTTTGGATTAGACCCCTTGCTCCGTCTTCGGAGTTGATTATGGATTTGATTAGTGCATTTTTCTGCCCTTGTGTTCTCTTTCTTCTCTTGGTTCTTGGAGGGGAACGTGTAGCGTGGTTATCTGCCAACATGCAAGAATGTTTATAATTCACATGTTATTGCTTATCCCACGGGTTAATTCTCTAAAAACACTTTAAAGGTAGAGTCAGGGGCGTATTTAAGAGATCCCTCCATGTGTATATATATCTTCATATAAATACTTCTACATCTATACACACACACACACGGCTATATACACATGGAAAAGCTTCAAGTACGGTGCACATATAATCACACGCACATCA